GAAAAACAAACCACAATGTAACATCATAAATGCCATGATAGGAGTAAACATAGGGTGTCAACTAAAGCACTGTAAAGGGAGTAAAGGCAGAGATCAGAAGAGGACTCACAGAGGCCCTGCAGGAAGATTTCTTAGGACAGTGATGAGAATTGAATTGGACCAAAAAAATGAGAAGGGATGGCAGGTGAAGGCAAGAGGCAAAGGAGACATTCTAAACAAAGAGAATCACATGTGTGAATGGGAAAGGCATGAAAATTCCGTGAGGGTGGTGCAAATCACTTGGAATGGCTGGAGCAAGCACAAAGCACCAATAGACATAGCTCAAGAAGTATATTCAGGGATCACATTTTAAACTAAAAGCAACTGTAAACGATTTATACTTTATTTGCAAGATTGGAGGAGCCATTGCAGAAGTTTGAGGGAACAGGTAAAATAGTCTGTATTTTGGAAGGGCCACTTTGACAGCAGTGGGGAGCATGAATTTGATGGTGGCCAGACAAAAAGTAGAAAGACAGAAAGTAGAAAGACCAGTTAGGATGGCACTGGAATAGTTTAGTGTAAAAAAAAAAAAACAACCTGTTCAGGGCTATAAATCAGAAGAGAATAATGGCAGCAGACTGTAGAGTAGACTGTTTTAGTAAAGAGGCTGGAGCTGGAGCTATCGATTTGGGAATCACCAATATAAGCCATGGGAGGTATGACCTGGCAGAGAAAAAGGATAGAAAAAGAAGAAAACCTGGAGTAAGCTCTGTGTGACTCTGGCGTTCAGAAATAGGAAAAGTAGATAATCTCTTAAAGGAGACAGAGGAGGGAATCATGAGAAGGATGGAAGAGAAGCTATAAGAGATGGGTATCAGCTTCAAAAAGAGAGTAGCCAGGCAGCCCTGGTGGCTCAGTGGTTTAGCGCTGCCTTCTGCCCATGGCGTGATCCTGGAGACCGGGGATCGAGTCCCACGTCAGGTTCCCTGCATGGAGCCTGCTTCTCCCTCTGCCTGTATCTCTGCCCCTCTCTCTTTCTCTGTGTCTCATGAATAAATAAATAAAATCTTTAAAAAAGAGAGAGAGAGTGGCCTACAGCATCAGGGATGAGTGTGTGTTACATCTGGCGATCAGGTCTCTGGTTGACCTTCACCAAAATTACTCAATGGAGTGGTGCTGTGGAAATCACATTTCAGAGAGTTATGGGTTAACTGGAGATAAGAAAATAAAGACAGCAAATACGAACTACTTTTTTCCCAAGAAGGCTGCACATGAAGAAAAGGAGAATAAAAAAGTGGATAGGTTTTTGTTATTGTTGGTACCACTTTTAAGTTAGATTATTTTTTAATGTGATAGAGAAAGTGATGATTTAAGAAATAGAAAAATCAAAAGATAAGTTCCTTAAGAGGGTGAGAGTACAGAGAGGAGCCCAACCCCAGCCAGGGAAACCACCTCAACAGAGACAGAGGAAAGGAGGGACAGGGTTGGGAATACCAGGAAGTTTGGGAAAATCGTGTTCCCACTTCTGGTCCCTATCTTCTCTGTGAAATCATTACTGAAAATAAGAATGAAATTGATGAGTGGTTATAAGGAGAGCAAAGGAGAGAGAAAACTGGAAGGGTAGGAGCTTGTGACAGAATGTTAGGTAGAAGGAAGAACTGTTGCTCACTTGCTCTTCCACAGCACCTTGCACATCTCACTCATAGTAGGAACTTTCATCAACACTCTGCCCTCCTGGGGAAGCCCTATGGAAGAAACTTCTATTATTTTCTTCAGCTCACACACACAGAGAAAGACATGTTGATTGGTAAGACAGTGAGAACCTGACATGCACCAATCCTCAGCTCTCTGTTGGGCAGGGTGGGTACCCTAAGTCACTACTCACATGTGGCTCTCCGACTTTTACTAGATTACATTCCCGCAGATGTAAGACAAGCCCAAATACTCTGTCTCTCTTATGGGTGCACATCTAACTCTTTCCACCACTGTGACCTTTAAGGTTTACTGAAGGAACAGGAAGTAACAGGAGGCTACCACTTCAGCAGCAAGTTCCAGACACATTTTCCAATCTAGATTTATCAGCAGCAAAGTGGGTACTAAATTTCAATCCTCCTCTAAGCTTTTCTACTAATTTTCTCACTAACTTAAAACCTAAAGAAGTTAGGAGGGGTGACCAGAATTCTGAAAACCTTAGGCTTACAGTTTGAAAGTGCTGAAGGCTCTCCTGGTAAAACATTTGTCAATGAAGATAAGGACCAGAAGAGGTCATGGAAGTATCATGCTAGTGTGGAATGAACCGAAAGCCACTGGAGTCAGAGATCTGGGAGAACAGTAGTTCCTGGGTGTTGGATATGATTTCTACACAGTCTCTACTGAAGTCATACAAGTTGAAAGTGAATTTACAATGAAGAGGAAAAATGTAAATGAGGTTCTAAATATCTTGATGAATGCAAGGGAGTGACTAAGATGCGATGGTGACAGTGAAAAGAAGGGAAGAACAGACCTGGTACTATTGGGGCCTTTACTGAAGACTTTTACAGGAAGTTGAAGGCACAATGTTTGGAAGCCACAGAGTAAGTAGGCAGATGCCAAGCCTGAAGCAGGCCCTTAGATTCCTTGGGTGTAAGCCAATAAATATTCTTCAGGGAAAAGAGTTGAAGGGTAAGCAATAATCTCAGGGAAAAGGCGAGGTTTTATTTAAGACAAACTATACAATGTTTTGAGAAGACAGGACAAATACACAACAACCATTGATCTAGAGAGCATAATGTAAAGAGAGATTCAAAGAGTGAAGAGCAAAAGAATAGAAGCCAAAAAGTGTCCACGAACAAGCTGTCTCTTCCCATGTCATCAGGACTGTTGGTTTTCCTACAAGTTGGATACAATGGGAAATGATAAAAAAAAAAAAATGACTCATACATACCATAAACACTCTATATAACTTAAAACATAAATATACACACATGTGCCAATCTTCTGATGTGAGGCCAAGGCCTGTTCTCTGCATATGGGTCTGCTGATTGGAGTTATGCGTCTTCTGTCTTACATAAACCACATCCTTCATCTATGATTTCCAGTTTGGCTCTCTTTAAAGCATAGGGAGAACCTGAAGACACTTGGGAAACAATCTGAATGCAGAGCTCATCTAGGTTTTTATAACTCCCCCCCCCATCTTCTTTAAGCATTATCCTGCCTACACCTCATGAACAGCAAAGCTTTTTTATCAAGTCTTTCCAAAGCCGTGTTTATAGAAACAAAACTCAAAGTCTTTTCTGTGTTTGATCAGTTCATTTACTCTTCATTTCAACTACATGATTAAAATAAGAAATATGACTGGCTAAACAAACTTGAACACAAGCACAACACAATGGGCCCTTGAGAAAAAGCCAGCTTTCCTGATGGGAATGGGAGCACATGGGCAATCTAAAGGAAAGCTTGTGGCTGAAAACATCCAGGTACTGAGAGTGGCAATCCTGTGGTTAACAGAGAATGCAACATCAGTTAATTCAGCAGCACCTACAAGGAGGCCAATTAGGAGATCTTTAACCACACAGGTGGCAAGAGCAACTGCATGTTGAAGTCAGGCAAGGACAAAAGGAATGTGAAGTATTATCAGTGGGGTTTGAGTTTTTGAATGGACAGCTGGTGTAAAGATTGGGTTTTTTTCCCTCTCCATGTGCATCCTCTTCCCTTTCCTCAGTCCCTTAGATCTTAATGGCTTTTCTCTCATTTTCAAGGAAAAAAACTAGGACGTTAAGGAACAAGGTAGAAGAATAATTAGAGGTTAAGAAAAAAAGTCTGAAGCTCCAGAGCCACTCTGGGCCCCAAGCAATTCCCTTATCTCCTTTTCTTTTAGCATTGGCATCTTGGGATTTAGCCAGCTCTCCTCTTTCACTACTTACAACTCTCTTCATCTGAATTTTTCAACCAGGTAACTGGAAACCAAATTCATATTCATCTTCATTTTCTGTCTCTCCTTTTTTCCCACTGGTTGTTCAGGGAGGTTATTCATAGCCATACAGAAAGGGAAGGGTAACAAAACCTACAAAACCAGAACTATCTACACTTTCAAGAAATCAGTACCAGTGTTAATTGCCATGGGGCCAGGCCTGCCCTACCTTAAACATCATCATCAACTTCCTTCCCACATGTTCTAACACAAGGTACCCCTTTCATGCCCCCACAGAATGGACAGAATCCAGCACAGTTCCTCCACGACCCTCCCATGAGGAGGAAGTCTCTCCCCCTCCTACTCTACATCATAGATTCAATAAATATCACACAGTAGAGAGTACTGGATGCTAATAAAATGGCCATTTGTAGATTAGCCATCATTTCCTGAGTACTTGGTATGATTAATCAATGTGTTAAGTGCTCCCATGGCTTTGATGCATCATCTTGTTTAATTCTCACGGAAGTAGGATTGTTGTTATTATCATCCTCTGTGAAAGAAATTTATAAGACTCTAAGGGATTAAGTATAATACTCAAGATCACACAGAAAGTAAGTAGCAGAGCCAGGATTTGAATCTGGGTGATTGGACCTCAGAGCCTGGGGTCTTAAGTACTATACCACACTGCTGCTTCCCAGAATCCAGGTTCAAATGGGATTCATTTAAAACTTAGAAGAATTTTTTTTTTTTACTGATATATGCAATGTCAATGATTCCCTTCCTCTGACAATTATCCCCATCCACACACCATAAGAAAAATTAGTTTATGGAATTCACCAAACTGTTCTAAGGTGATATTTACCTGTTTAAGACAACAAGGAAAACAATTAACTGACTAAAATATACTCTTTCTGATTTAAACAACCCTGTTTGGCATGGGTGATAGAAGACAAATCTCTGCCCATCTACCATGAAAGCAGTTCCCACTCAATACTTTTCACAATCCTTCCCCTTGGGCAAATACACTACCTTTTACAACAAAGTCAGGGAATGAGAGTTACATAGCACTGTAGGAAAGATGGGTAAACTAGAAAGTTAACTGTTGGAAAGTTAAATAATTCAAACTTACTTTTTTGGTACACTTCTTAACAGTGTTGATTAATTCTTGTATTACCAGATCTACACTCTTCAAGGAAGGCCCTTTCAGCTTTACAATTTGCTTTTTGACTATTGCTTCAAATGCCATGTCTGGAGTAAACAACCCTGTCCTGAATATAAGAAAGAAAGCAGTATATTAGATTTTTTAAATTAAGTAATATCCAATACTTTTTTGAAAAACGTTTTAAATGACATGCCACCTAAAGTAACCATGTAATACCCGTTTAAAAGTTACATAGTGATTTATTCTATCAACAGTATCATTTGTAATAATATCTTCGAAACTACTATCCCATAATAAATTTCATTCTCTAGATGATTAGTGTCACCTAAAAACAGTTCCCAAAATGTTTTCATGGACTGGAATAATATGACCAGTAACTGACATTTACCTGTAGTTTGTTTCATCTCACTGTTTCACTGCAATAAAAAGCAATGCTACAATAAAAATGCTGTCCTAAATTTACGTTTCTCTGTCAAAGTATTCCAATAGCAACCCCCTCTCGTCCTTCATAGAGCAGAAGATAATCCTCATTTTGTCAACACTGAAATAGTAGCATTCCTGACTATGCAATCTATCCTCTCCAGGAGAGCTGTATTATAGCGACCTCAGTGGATCCCAATCTGAGGTTCTGGGGTGCTACAGGAAAAGAAAGACAGTTAACTAGCTTGGGACCCAGGATGCCTAAATGGTGAATTTACAAAAAAACAAATGAGAATCAAAATAGCAAGTATCCTTTCACTTGGCTGTAATTATTTCAAATTGGTGTCATAACAATGGTTTTCTCCGGCTGCAAAAGTACATAGCAAAGCAGGTGAGTGTGGTGTGTAATAAAAGGTGAAAAATGATTACATCTAAATAAAAGGACAAAGGAGAAAAGCTACCATAAGAGAAACTCTGAACCCCGAGTATCATCACGCCTAAAGCCCTACAGGCTCCAAATGCTTGTGCTGGATCCTCCCCATTCCCAGGCCCTCCTGCCTTTGATTAACTTCTTCTCCTTCACCACTCAATTCAGTGATGCTTCTTTTGGGAAATTATTTTCACCCTTCCCTTACAGCAGCTTTATTCTGGTCCCTTCTAATCATTTACTTTATCACCTTACGCTCACCTCGTTTTCTAACTGTAGTGATCCTACTATATTATAATTTGAAATTTCTCCACCTTGGATACAGAATAAAATCCACACTGTTTGGTCTAACATTAAAATTTTCCCTGTCTGACCCTAACCTTCCGTTCCAGCTATTTGCCTCCTCCCTTTCATGCACCCTATGTTTCAGCCAAACCCAATCCTTGGCCTTTCCACAAACATACTCATACTAACGTTTTCTGTCTTTGCCTCCATCCGTAAGATTCACTTCACCCTCCCCACACTTTCAGCCCGTCCAAGTCCCACCTGTGCTTCAAAGCCCAGATCAAAAACAACCACTTCCTACAGCTTGCCCTCTCCAATCCTGCCACTGACAAGGTCTTCCTTCTCCGAACCCCAACATCCTATTTTGCATTGCAGTGGTCTGAACACACATAGTCCCATTACTACCCTGGTGGAAAGATCATTATTGCATTTGTCTTTGCCCCACAAGGACTGTCTTTCTCCCATGCTCATCACTGGCACACAGTGCTTACGGAACACAGAAGGGCCATTAGGTCTGCAGTGGACAAAGATGGCTTCTGTTATTTTGATACCTAGCAATCAGTCAGAAACCAAATTTTTCAAATTAAGTGTATTTAAAAGCCTAAATCATCATGCCATCCATTAGTATATCTTATTCTCAGGACACTGTGCACTTCTTATCATCTTACAGGCAAATTAATTCCAGAATAATAAATAACAACCCACCTATTATTTTCCAATGCACGTAATTCCAAAATCTTCAAAACTGAACTACTGAGCTTTTGCAGCTACATTCAGCAAAAATGTATCTGATAAAGAGTTATAAAAGCCAAGTAACAGTACTGCATTTTACACTTACAGCAAAGTAAGTGAATATAAGAACAGTTTGGGACCCCCAAAAATGTGATTTGGTTTCACTGCACTTATCAGATTGACATGCTCAAATACTAGCCCTGCCCAGCTCAAGAGCAAGACACAGCTTCTATACCTAATGTGTTCCAGATTTGAGGAAGACAGAATAGAATTAATAGAGAACTTGGAAATCCTGTTGACAATAAGAGAAAAATACTGGATTTGGTTATAGAATCTTTTCTCCCTTTTATTTTGTGACTATTTACCTATCCTTTTTGCAGCTTGCAGAGCAGGTTGTCTGAATGTTAAAATGACAGGAAATTCAAATGTCATAAGTCCTTTCACTTGTACACTCAGTGTCAAGCTTTGCCCTCTCAGGTTCTGTCCCCAAAATGGTCTCAACTTAGCCCTGTGGCAGAAGCCGAGAGACAACGGCCAACAGACAGGGGGACATCTCCTTCCTATGAGATCATCTATGAAGTAAGCAGTAAGCAACCTAAGTTCAATATCTTAAAATCAGGACATTTAAATATACTCCATTAAATTTGGCAGATGAACTCAAGAAATGTGTGTGCTAAATTCATTTTTTTCTTATGATAGTACTTTAAAGAAAGTGAGAATAATCCCATTTGATACAAGGGGAAATCCCCCACAAACTTCCACACAAGATACAAACTCCCCTCGCAGTCTCGTGTCCCACTGCCCTCCCATTCAGTGAAAATGCATGACTCCCTGCTCCACGAATCCCTGCTGTACTTTACCTCTTCTGTGCCTTTGCTCACACTACTCTGTCAACTGTAAGCCCTCTCTTTTATTCTCCTGCCTCAATAATCTCCAGCCTCCCATGTTTCACATGTGTGCATGCATACACACACACACACACACACACACATATGTGTAAACCCACAGCACACCATTGCCTGTCGAAATCATTCTTTTTCTCTATCCAGGCAGGTTCAACTCAAAAGCCACCACCTTCATTAATCTTACCCAATCTTACCCCACAACTCCAGCAGAAATTTATCTGTCCTGCCTCTGTGTTAAGTCATGATCACTTATGAGTAGGTCAGGACTCCCTCCCTAAAATGCAAGGCTCTGGAGAACAAGGTCTTGCTCACCAGTATATCCCTAACTGTACAGAGCACAGTGCTGTGGATGCAGGAAGTGTTCCTGCATTTTTTTAAATTGTAAAGTCTTTTCTTTTGTGAGTGTGACAATACAGGAAATCACCATTAAACTCAAACTAGAGTCTCCTATTTCCTACTTCCATCTCTGTACTCCCCTGCTCAGATGACAAAAAGGCTACTTCACTAGCCATTTATAATTATTAATTTTCTTTTAGTAGCTTGAACAGAAGACGAGGAAAATGTAAATCACTTGCCTGATACCATGTATGTTTTTGATTGCATAGCTTATTTCTCTTCGTAATTCTTTCTCATTGAACTCCATCTGCAGATGCAAAATGAGCCACAGTTATGACACTTAATTCCTTTGAATAATAATATTGTTGAATATTTAAAAATGAGAATAACTTGACTTAGTTATTAATAAATGGATACTCATGTGTCTCCTAACCTAAACCCAGATGGTCAAAACATCTGTTTATATAAAGTTCAAGGCAACATAGAACATTGGGGATTTCTGGGAATTTTAGCATAGTGGATTTTAACTCTGTTATAGATAGGAGTGCTATGCATAAAGAATGCCTTCTGGACATAAATCTGGCCATTCATTTGAAATATACAATTCTTCATTCTTCTGCTGAATGTAGTAAATGTATTTATTCACAGACAAACGCATAAATAAGAGTGTCACCTGACATGCACCAGTGGTCCAGCTGGGCTGAGATTAACAATGGCTGTCTTTTCTCCCTGGCCATTTTAACCACCTGCATTCAAGGCCTCTTTACAAGAGGAAATTAATAATATTTTACCAATCCAAGGCAGGATAGATGACTGCATAAAAATCTCCCAGAAATTCTAGGTACTTTAAATATATTTGGAATTGGGATCAAAGTGTCATGGAGCTTAGACCTAAAAGGGATATCAAGAGCACATTTGGTTCAGCCCTTGACTTCTAATATTTTGTCTTCCCAGCCTCATTGTCTATCCATTTTTCCCCTCACACTTTATACCATCAAACGATGAACTGCTTTAGTTTCCTACCACACCCCGCAGCCCACAGCTGTTTTCCCCATTCCTCCTTTTCTATCTGTAACAACCCCAGGCCCCAACCCCCTCCTGCTTGCCTAGCTGTTCATCCTTGCAAACTCAGCTCAGAAGCTAGACTCCCTCATGCACTCAGTATGGGATTCAGGTCTGTAGGCTCAAGGTTACCCCTTAGCACATTTTAATGAAACGATCTATTTACCAATTTACCTCCCACATCAAGACATGAGCACCCTCCTCTGTATGTGAAGCAAGTAACAGAGTCCCTATTACTACTTAGCCCTCTTGGGCAAGCCAAACTAAACTTAGCAAAAATAAAACTCTCTCAGTTCATACCTCTACACAAACTCAGCTTTTGCTCAGTTTCTGCATCTATGATTTGCCATTGTTCAATCCTAAGCCTCAGGAGTCACCTTGAATCTTCTTTCTTGCATCCCCCATACCAGTCCAAGCCCTACTGACCCTACCCTCAAAATCACAAATCCAATCACTTTCTCCATCCTCTCTTCTAGAGCATTTTTACTAGGAAGCTAAAGAAGATTAAGTTTCAGGGCTTCCCTCTTGCATAAGCACCTTCCAAGACCCTGTGCCTAACTCTATGTTTATAATTTTGTATTCTTCCCCTTCAAGGGCTCCCCCCAAATTGTATAAACTTTAGGCACCACAGAAAGTTGATTCACTCCTAGGAGCTCTGACCCTACTGTTTAACTCACCAAACTTTTCTCCCTGAATCAACTCTCTTGCCGCTTTACAATTGAGCCTGCAAAGTGTTCTTTTAAAATTATCCACCAAATCAGGTCATACCTTTTCTTAAAACTCTCCCTTAACTTCTCATTATTAAATGTAAACACCTCACTGCAACCTGGAAGGCCTTGCATAAACTGGAAACTTCCTTCCTCTGAATTCACAGCATACCCTTCTCCCCTCCATCAGCTTTATACTGGCCCCATCTATTCTCTACCCACTGTTTCTCTGCCCATTGGACAGATGCTTGCTTTAGGGCCTCATCCTCAGCTGTGCCTTGAATGATCATCTTCCCAAGATCCTTACAGCTGATTTCTTCATGACATTCTGGTCATGCTTTCAATGTCCTCTACTCAGAAGGACCTCACCTAAAACATGGCTCACTCAGAGCATCTGGGTGGGCACAGTTGGTTAAGCGTCTGACTCTTGGTTTCAGCTCAGGTCATGATCTCAGGGTCCTGGGATCAAGCCCCGCATCAGGCTCTGTGCTCAGGGTGGAGCCTGCTTGAGATTCTCTTTCCTTCTCCCTCTACCCCTCCTGCTTCTGCCTGTCTCTCTCTCCTTCTGTGCCTAAAGTAAACAAATAAATATTTTTAAAAAGTGGCTCACTCAACTCTGCCTCCCTCGTTCTCCCTAACATTGTGTTACATAACAACACTTGATGTTTTTTTACTTTGTCTATTGTAAAATTTCCTCTGTTTTCCCACCAGACAGTGCCTCTGGTGCTCAGTGGCACCTAGAATTTTGGCACAGAATAGGTGCTCAAGAAACATTATTAAATTAGTCAGACAACAAATAAACTTCATAATAACTCAATTAGTATTTGTTGAAATAACTTGAAATGTTGTTAGATCCTATTAAATAAATAAAATCAGGACCATCAGGAAGAAAATATTTCTCTCCTAAATTTCATCACCTGAGTATGGGGATTTTTGTTCAAGGATTTTAGTCCTATACCACTCACATAAACATTTTATGAACAGTTATGTAGAACAGAACATGTAAATGAAAAAGTGAAAGGGAAGAAATAATACTTGGTACAAACCTTTACTATCTCAAAAGGAAAGCGTTCGTGGAAAATACGATTGATTTTAGCCCCTCCTGAGAGCTCCAGGGTATCTACTTGATCCCCTGACCCTTCAATTCTCTTCTCAAAATCCACAGCAAATTGCTGAACCATCCTAGAATTGTGAAAGAGAAAAAAACTCAAGTTAAAGTTAGAAGGCTTTGCATTTCTCATTTTAATTCACTGTGGTGAGCCTTTAGAATCCTTTCCTAGTGTTCTTAGTGGCACCTACTGGCAGAATTAACACTGCACTCTATTCAGCACTCAAAAATGTAATTATATGGCATACATGTTATTAAGATTTATTTTAGGCATTTAATTAAAATATATATCTTAAATATCTGTGTCATTAGATACATTCTGCCCATTTAGTCAAAAACATAAAGTGGCATTTAAAAAGACTGAAATTAAGAATTAAACAATAAAACTTTATATAGAATAGTCAAAATGTACCTCGGTTCCTATGACATTGCACTCACTTTGTGTTCTAAATGCTTCAGATGAGCCCCTTCATTCTCTGTGAGCTCTGTTCCCCACCGCAACATCACAGACCTCCCTCTGCCAGAACAATGCTAACTGGTGACCTCCACCCTCCTCCACAACTAGCTCTAGCCTTGTTTTTCAATGATTCCCCACAATTTGCTAATAAAATTAAAATTCCTTAACCCATTATGCAAGATTCTCCATGGTCTGGCCCTGGATGCTCCATCTCTCACTACTCGTCCACGTTCACCTTCTAAGCCAACCATAAAAATTGTATTTGCAGTTCCCTATGTGTACCATGCTCTGTGCTTCTACACTTGTTTTCCTTTCTGCTCAGAACATCATTTTCTCTGCTCCTTGCTTCCCTGCCTGGCTAATTTTTATCTGGCCTTCAAGAATCAGTTCAAGCATTAGTTTTTTCAGGAAACCTTCCACGGTCCTATCCACTACCATTCCTCATTGCCGTCGGGTAAAGGGACTCTCTTCCTCCTCTCCTGTACTTATTTTCAACACAACACTTAGTAGAGCCCCTCACCCTTGTTCACCTGCCAGTCTCTCTCCTAAAAGCAAGAACCATGAATTTTATTTATCTCCCCCTGCCCAATATTCAAGAGGTACTCAATAACTTCAATGAAGGAATGAATTACCTTACGGTGGTTGGTAAAAACAAAGAAAAATATCACAGGGAGAAAACAGCAACCTACTTACATCTTCGATTGCTAGTGTAGAAACTCTAATTTTGGCATGAGGGTAATGCTTTCAAATTCAACAGGAAAAAGTCAAACCATTGAAGACTTATCTTTTATTCTCTTTCATCAAAACCACGGATGAATTAAAACTGCAAGTTACATAGGCCAGAAAATTCAGAATACAACTGGACCACGTAACTATGTTTATGCAAATGCCAATATTAATCTAATTTTTAACCACCTGAGAAGGTATATACATGAGGAAGCACTGAAATGCTGGGAAATTTTAGGAAATTAAACCTCTAGCCACTGCTTTCCTTCCAGCCTACACTCCAGCCCATTGGCCCACTACAACAAGCTATAAACAATTTCACACTATTCTCTTGTCCTCCTCTTCCACCTGACAAACTCCTCCCATACATTAGGTTCTCATTAAAGTACCTTTTCCTCTATGAACTCACAACCTTCCTCACCTGTAATTGCTTCCTCATTTGTCCTCCCTTAACATTTTATACTTACCAGAAACATAGCATTTATCAGATTTTAACACAGTTGCTTATATGTCTGTTTCCCTTGCTCTATTGTAGCCTCTCCTTGATAGCAAAAGTCTTATCTGTTGTTGAATCTCCAGTAGATAGCACAGAGCCAGACACCAAGTCAAACACAAAGAGATGATAGGAAGGCAAGAAGAGAGGCAGGCAGAAAAGGGGAAAGGAAAGAAAAAGGAAAGGGAGGTAAGGAGAGAGGAAGGAGCTAATCAGCCCCCTACAAGGGAAGAATCCAGATGTGGAAAATTCTGTAATCTGAGTCCAATGGAATCACAGAGGCAAGCCTAGTATTTGTAAGGAGAGTAGTTTCAGTTGGATGTTAAGATGATGACCTAGAGCCTAAACAGAAATAGCTTTCTTTTCTCTGTAACTTGAAGAGTTTTTATAGTAGCTTAACCAAAGCCAAGAATAAAAAGAAAAGATAAACTAGGAAAAGAGTTGAATCCAAGAAAAAATTCTTTCCACTGTATGATTCTATAATGTTTTTAAATGAGGAAACATAAAATGTTACATTAAATTTTTACTTTAATAGTTTGAGCATTTAGAAATATCTCCACAAAGAAAGGGATCTTCTCATGCATTTTCAGCACCAAATTAAGGGCATCTTGATTGCAAGGTTGCACAATAAGAAGAGACAGCAAGAGGGAGCAAGCATCATCTTGGAAAATGGACTTGCGATGTCCTGGGCTATCAGCTGGGCAAGGGGTCTTCTGGTTGAGAGGAAACTGATGTAAGTTGCAGCATAGGGATAAGAGGACAGATGAGACTGGGAGGGGCCAGAAAACAGAACAAAGATAAAAAACATAAGGAGATGGTGATTCTCTAACAACTCTGCTGTCCTACCCAAGGCCTCTCAGGGATACCTAGTAACCCAAGGATAAGATGGGAAGATCATGAAGGTGTAAAAAGATACTTGGCAGGTTTCACATCTATGTTTTAAAAGAGCTACGTGGAAGTCATTACTAAAAAAAGGTGAAAGAAATTTAAATGGGCCTTGTCACCCACATTTTAATTATTTTTTTAAAAATTTTTATTTATTTATGATAGTCACACACACACACAGAGAGAGAGAGAGAGAGAGAGAGAGAGGCAGAGACACAGGCAGAGGGAGAAGCAGGCTCCATGCACGGGAGCCCAATGCGGGACTCGATCCCGGGTCTCCAGAATCATGCCCTGGGCCAAAGGCAAGCGCCAAACTGCTGCGCCACCCAGGGATCCCCACATTTTAATTATTAAAGCCTTGGTTCTCATTCCACTGAAAAACGTTCACAGATAAATCACATGAAATGACTAACATAAGAAGATAATAAGTGCGAGTGACATCAGTAGAAACAGTTGTATAATACAGATGACATTTTTGACAGGAGCTTTGTCCACTTCTAGAGACTATGGGCAAAAACCCTACTGAGTTATCACTATTGGTTTTACTCATTTACAGAATCCAATTATAAAAGCACAGGGAAATTGTGCATGGGGATGGACAACTGGTTCAATTTATAGTAACAGAATAAGATCACATAAAGACTCAAGGCTCATTGTATAATATACACTGAGTCTCTACACTTTACTTGCTTCTTCTGTTAAACTTCAAAAATATCATGACAAAGAGACCAAGGCAAAAGCAAACCGAACGAGGGAAGGGAAAGGTGACTCACTGCAGCAATGCTTTGGTCTTCCTGGTGGGGTCTTCTGGCTTGAAGTTTTTGTAGCCTTCTACTTCATGTTCTATGGAGAGCAACTGCCCCTGTAGTTTGTTTCGGAAGTTTGGCAGGGTATCTCGAATGTGGTTGGTAAGTTGCTAAATAAACCAAAACAAAATCATATAGATATAACAAATTAAAATTAACTCGTGAAACAAAAATTGACCTTCACTGTTTTCCTAATCATTTAAAACTTAGAAATCATATACATATATACCTTTGAGACTATGTAGGTAATAATGAGAAGGAGCTCCAACTGTCTCCTGACCTTAAGGAGATGCTCCATATTCCTTCAGTTGGAGTCACTTGCCTGGTCTACCTCTTTATGCCTGGCTGGAAATATCCTGTTAAAATGCACCTAATGTTACCAATGAGACTGCCTAATAACTTGAGCATGGATTGATTTGTCAGATTACCTTGATTGTAGAAAGGAGCCTTATGTTAAAATGTAGTTAGAAATGAAGAAACTGGAAAGTTACAGGTGCTGCCAGATGTCGCAAGACCACACTAGTGGAACCTGTAGGCACCTATCAGCTGTTAACTTCCCCTCCATTCTGCAGTTGGAGTGCTTCCTCTTGCCCTGCCTCTAGGCCTCAGTCCAGTGGTGGTTGTTCACTGGCTGATGCCTTCAGCAGTTTGCATACGAAAGCTCCATGTCTAGCAAAGGAAAACTCTCTCTGCTGCTGCTTTCTTTACCTAACCATCCACTTGGCATTTCTGCTGAGATCATCTGCCGGCACCTCAAGCGCAGAAGATTGAAAAATTCTCTAAGAGATTGTCTATGAGTACATTATTAGTTAAGAACAAAGGTGGATATAACCCAGATTGGTTAGCCTTATGTTCTTTCTATTATAATCCAGTTTAAAAAAAAGTCTAAATTTAAAAAAAAGAAATAAAGAAAGGGAAAAAAAGATCATCTTCTTGAACTGGTTAAGTAATAAACTTGGAATCAAAGGAGAGAATGTAAACTTAACAGAAATGCAGGAAAAAGAATAATAATTTGAAAGGGGAATAAATATCCAGACTGACTAAAGAAACCATTTTAAATCATTTTTATGTTTATCTGAGATTACTTGAATACATCTATTCAATACATCTATAGTTACTTAGATGTTAATAGTTCATAACTAGCTTATACCTTTGCCCACAGTTATGATTTAAGATATTCCCCAGCATGCTGTTATTATGGCTTTGAAGCGGAAAACAAAAGAATGGAGAGAACTGCATTCCCAGTAGCAACATCACAAATCCTCAAGTCTAAGAGGATCAGTAACCATGAGATACTAGTAGCCACCTGTCTGCCATGTGAGTGGTAAATGATAAAAACACATGGTTTCCACTTCTTGCCTCTCAGATATCTCAACAGCAAAGCAACACTCTGGACCACTCTTGACTTTCTAAACCACTTCTTTCCTTGGCTTTGATGACCCTAGCTCCTCCCATTTTTCTCCTAACCTTTCAAATGTACCCTTTACATCTCCTTTGCCAAGTCATCCCCTTCCACCAGACCTGTAAATATCAATATTCCTCAAATCTGAGTCTTAACCTTCTTCTTTGTCCACTCTCTGTTCTTTCCTACAGTAATCTTATTCTACTCATAGCTTTAATAAATATCCAAACACTTGTGGCTACCAATGCATTATCTACAGACCAGACTTCTAATCTTTGCTGTAGGCTTATGTATTAGACTACGGACTTTACTTCTCTTAGATGTGTCAATGACACCTCAACCTCAGTATGTCTGAAATCAATCACCTAATCTTCCTTTTAGGGCTCTCCATCTTGTTGACTTCATAACAATATGGGAACTTGGAACACATCCTTGACCTCACCTCTCCATAACCCACCAGAATTAATCTACCACCAAGTTCTCGATTTTCCTAAACATTTCTCAATTCTGCTTTTTTTCATCTTCACTGGCCCTAACCAAGCCAAACTACCATCATTCTCACTTTACTCCTAACTTCTCATGTCTACTCTTGATCTTCCTATCTGCAACCACCATGATCATTTTTAATCCACAGATATGATTGTGTATTCTCCCTACTCAGATGCCTTAAATGACTCACTCCCCACTGTTCTTAGGATAAGAACAAAAATCTTTAACTTGCCTATAAACATTACAGGATCCAGCCTCTGCCTACTTCTCCAAATTCGTCTCTTATAACTCACTCCCTCATCCTCTGCCCTCCAGTCATAATGACTCAAAAATGTCATGTTCTGTTCCAGTTTTCGCCATAGAAACTGTCCCTCAGGGCCAGAGGTATTGGTGCACATTGAATCAGCCATAAAAGTATCCTAGTTTCAAACAGTATGAAGATCCCTGAAGCAATAAAAAAGAAAGTGATTATCCAAGAAAAGAGAGATCTTCAGTACAAAATTAATTCAGTTTTCAGTCAACCAGAATCCAGTTATGTCATAGTTTAGGGATCATTTGTATAACCAAATGGCCAGTCATATTCTTTCTACTTTTCTAGTATTTACAACCTTATTTATTTCCAACTTTAATCTTCATAATCACCTTAGTGATTTTTCTCTAAGAATTTTTCAGTTTATATTTTTCTTAGATCAATACAGGCATGAAAGCAGTAATCCAAAAAGATTTTTATCAGCTAAATACATTGGTAGAATATTATGCCTTTTGTGTGGCAAATCAATGTTCCTTCTCTAAAATATATTCATATTCGTTAAATGATACAACCATAACACCACCTCATGACTTCTAAATTCTTATCTACTGGACCCCTGTGTGGCTCAGTCAGTTAAGTATCTGCTTCAGCTCTGGTCATGATCCCAAGGTCATTGGATCAAGTCCCACATCAGGCTCCCTGCTCAGTGCTTCTCCTTCTCCCTTTGCCCCTCCCCCCTGCTCATGCTCTCTCCCAGTCTCTCTCTCAAATAAATAAAATCTTTAAATAAATAAATACATACATACATACATACATACTCATCTACCCTTAGATAAAAAGCACAAATCTTACATGAGGTCTGTTATGCCACTTAAAATAGAAGTATACCACCACTTTTTTATTTTCTAAAACTTCTTCAACTGTTTTGCCCAAATGGTTCAGGTACAGTGTTACAAGTAGCCTACTACTGTGTTAGTCTCTAAAGATAGCTTTCAGGAGCAAACGATCAGGACATTCAATAACGACTTGATTGGTTGACAAAGTTCATAAACATTAAAGCATATCCTATGATTCTATTTGTGAGAAAAGCTGCTCACCATCTGAATCAACATAATCAAAACTCAGGGAGGAGACCCTGCACACACTAAGGATGATGCTTAACTTCCCTAGGAGATGGAAAATATGTAACCAAGTAAGTGCATGAGGTTTTACGCAAGTATGTAAGTGCATGGAATGTGGGAAGTTGGTGGCCCAAGTCTACTGTTCAGAGAAAGGGGTCTGCAAAAACTTCTTAGATGAATGGAGATCAATGATTTCTTATATGGATTTTTTTATTTTTAAGAATTTAAATTAAGGAACAAATCAATCCTAAACAAAACGATAAAAAAATTTTAAAAATAAATCTAACCTAACCATTACATGTTGACATTTTAAAAACAGATCCCAAGAAATCAACCTTTCAGAGATATACAAGTTTAGTTTCTTAAGATAACTACATATTATGAGTAAAGTGGGTGCTAATATATACCCTTGTTCACTGTTCCTAAATAAGTGTTTATTTCTGCTTTGAGCAGTATTCTTTCAATAACATTAAAGTAGTGTAGGACTAAGTATTTATATTCATTTTAATTCCTATCAATTAAGCCAAATGTCTTATTTTGGAAAAAAATTAATATTGAAATTAAAAATATGAATTCCAATAGTCACTTAATATTTCATAATTGTTGCTTGAGAAAGGTCTTTACCTGATTAAGGACCTTCTGCAGGTGTGGGGTCCCCATCCGGTCAGCAATATGTCTATACGCCGGATGTGAGAGAAAAAATTTCCTTTCGGCCAACATGGCAGCCTTAATGTCCTTCTTCCCATCTATGTCCTTCTGGCTTCTATTTACCACCCCTACATAGCCTGAAACAGAACACATAAAATGGGGTTTGGGACACTTGTTGTTTATTCTGGAGAGATTTCAAGGCTCTCAAACAGGCTGAATAAGAAAAGCAAAATTATTTTTAAGGGCTGAAGAACTGAACCCTCCACTTAAGTCATCAGTATTAAACAAAGGCTGGCTGATGGCTAATGACACTTTTTTAGCATTAACACAGTAATGTGTTTTACCCTTAAGAGCTCTGTACATTTTAACACAGTGTCTCCCTTAGCAGTTTTGTCATATGGTGGCCAAGTAAACAAGTCACACTTAAAACAGAACAGTATATATTTATGCAGTTTATGATGAATATTTATACCCTCCTTCCAAACTCCTTCTTTTTCCTGTTTTCTTATTCCTGTTATTTTAAGGAATAGTTCTCACTTTGGATCATTTTTAATATATCATTTGGAAACATTATGCCATTCCAGAAAAAGTATAACTAATCACAAATATATTCCCCACAACTTTGAAGGCATAAAACCAAGCTTGCCATTGGTTTCCCAATGGTTTCTCTGCCACATCATCAAAGGAAGTCCTCTCTATAGGACACGGTACATTACCCCTGCGAAGAGGCAGCAGCTTGTTCTCTAGAACATCCCTGGCATCTGTTCCTTCATCCATAAGATCCAATTTGGTGATGACTCCAATGGTTCTTAAACCTGCATCACAAAAAACCCAATATTACAGTTTTCAGAAGACTAACACATTTTAGAAATACATATGTCCCTACCAATGCTAAGTGCAGGCACTCATGTGTTTGGTCCATTTCCTGTTTCTCTCTGTCTTACTTTGTCTTCTAATCCACTGCTACCCTGGTCTGGTGAATTCAGATGTGATGAGAAGGAGAGTTGTAAAACCACCTATCCATAAGATAACTTTCACTTCAAGAGAGAAAAAAACTGAATAGTATATCAGCCAATAATTTTAAATATGTATATTTATTGTTGTACCATGCACACATGGAAATTATACACTTAAAATTTTCCTCCAAGGTAGTACACCATATGGGTGCTTTAATGTTTTTATGTATTACCTTATTGAAAATAAGTAAGTAGGATCAATAAGAGAGTGTGTCATAAACCAGAACTTATTACTGAGCCAGTTCCAAGTACTTGACAGACAAATAAGAAGAAAGTTAGGTATAGGATAGCATCATCACCAGAAATAAAGTCTCACAGCATTCCCTGTTCCTTAGAAAAAGATATATGACTTAACGAAAAGAAGACCAAACTAGGAATCCTGATACTTGGATTCTGGTCTCAAGACAAGCTATTTAACTCTCTTCTCAGGGTCTGTTTTCCTACCTGTAATATAAAGAATTGGAAACCTTAATTTCCAAGGTACCTTTCAGTAATAAAAACAACGTAAAACCTAGACATTTTATGTAGCACATCAGATACACTGTGTTTGCCCATTGCTTTCTTCACTAGATAAAATGAACAATATTCGCCTAGGCATTCATATTTTTAAGTGCATTTCTCTGGACACCCAGTAAAACATGATAAATTGAACACATCTTCATCTTTTTATCTGAAACCACTTTAAAATGGCTAATATTTATTAGGCCAACTAGGTTTTACATACTTTATATGTCTTAAATCATTTGCTCTTAGAAAGATTAAATCATTTAATCTTAAAAAGGATTCCAACTATTATTTTTTTTTTAAGATGAGGAAACTAATGCAGAAAGAGATTAAGTAGCTTTCCCAAGGTCATACAAAGATGTAGGTCTAGGTATCCAGAGCCCATGCCTTTAATCAATATACTGCTTTTCACAATACAAAGAATTTTAAAAGTAAAGAAGATTTAAACCAAGAAAGTCAAAGAAAATAGGAGAGGACTGAAGAAACATTTTGAAACTGTAAACCCAGCAGAATAACTACTAACTAACTTAACAGACTAGAGAAAGAGGAAAATTGAATCCAAGAAAGCCAACAACAGGAGAAGCCCAGAAGCTGGATAATTTACATCACAGCCTCTCAGAAAGGTTCAGGGAGACCAACAGCTCTGACAATAATGGAGAGTAGTGGGAGCAGTTGAGGCTGAAAACAAAAGTGCTGGATGAAAGCAATGAGATTTCTATGGATAACATAGCTAGGATCCACCCTGGTCCAACCTGGCAGGACAGCGCAGGTATACTCCCTGGAAACACTGAACTATGGAAAACTGAACTAATGGGCACTTGGCCCAGGTAGGGGCATCAGGTATTAGAAGAGGGTGATTAAGTGAAATTCCATATACTGTATGGCAGGACCTCTCTGCCTAGTCCAGTTTAAGAAAAAAAAATGGCTGGTAGAATTTAACCCCCAATGCAGGAGATTGAAAAAACTGTCTGGGGAAGTTAACCATTCTTAGAGGAAAACATAGACATTAAAATTCAGTGGAACTCCAATTAAGACAGCCCAATAAATCATCCTACTGTGAAGCCTATAACTCATTTAGTCAAGCACACCCACATAGAATTTCTAATCACCTGTTAATATTTCACTTTTAAATATAATCAATAAGTGTAGGTTACCAACTGTCATCATACAAAATTATTATAATATTAATATAACATATTATTAAATATATTTCCTATAAGTGACTTATTATAGCATTCTGTTATTTATATAGTTGTAGAATCACTATGTTGTGCATCTGAAACTAATACAATATTGTACATCAACTATGCTTCAATAAAAAATAAAAATTTTTAAAAAATGATTTTAAATGTTAATGGATAGCCAAGGAGAGTCTCTGAGACCAAAACAAATATTATAAAATAGAACTGAAGAAAACAAAGACAATACAAAATATAAAAGAAAATGTTATTATTTTATTAATGTCCTTAGAGAAAAAGGAGAGGTTATTGTGTCCATGGGACAAAAATAGAATGTCATAAAAGGAAACATTCAAACAAACAAAAAGAATTTTCATTAACAAAATATAAGAGTAGAAAATTTTTTAAATGTTAAGAGAATGGTTGGAGTACAAAGTTAGAAACTCTTCCAGAAAACAAAAGAAACAGAAGTAAATAATATAAAAACTTGTTTAAAACTAGAGAAATAGGCGTACCTGGGTAGTTCAGTAGTTTAAGCAACCAAATTTAGTTTTTGGCTCAGTTCATGACCTCACGGTCATGAGATCAAGCCCTGTGTTGGGCTCTATGTCCAGTGAAGAGTCTGCTTGAGATTTTGGTCTGCTTGAGATTTTGTCTCTCCGTGTCCCTCTCCTCCTCCCCCACTCTCTATTTTATTCTCTTTCTCTGTCTCAAATAAATAAATAAATAAATAAATAAATAAATAAATAAATAGTAAGAAAGAAAAAACTAGAGAAATAATCCAGAAGACCCAATATCTGAATAACTGACATCACAGGAAAACAGAAAATGAAACTGAAATAGTTGGGCAGGGGGCATACTATTCAAGAAAATATCCTGTAAGTGAAAGATTAATTTATACGTTGAATAAACCCATCAAGTATCCAACATAATATGAAAAAAAACACACACACACACACAATAGTAGTAAGAGATTTCAAAACACTGGGAACAAATAAAATATCTAATAAGCTCCCAAAGAAGTTAAGAAAATGACAAAAAAAGGTTTGGGATCATTATAGCATCAGTCTCCCCAGCAACAAACTGGAAACTAAAATTCAATAGAAAAAAAAAGAAGAAGAAGAAAAGAAAAATAAAATAAAATAAAATTCAATAGAGTGCTGTTTTCAAAATTCTGAGGGAAAAATCATTTCTAGCCTAGAATTCTAAACTATCAATAAATGTGACAGTAGAAAAATATATTTTCAGACTTTCAAAATCTCAAAATATTTTACCTCCCTTTCTCTTTCTTTGGAAACTACTAAAGGATGTGTTTCACCAAACATGGAAAGCAAATTAGCAAAAGAGTAAATAAGAGATCCAGGAAGCAAGATATATACTATAACCAAAAAAAGAAGGGAATTTTCAAGATGGTGCAGATCCCAGTACTAGGCCAGGGGAACAATCAATATCTATTAGGATGAGAGGACACAGATTACTGAGATGTATTTCCCCCACTAAGAAAAAAAAAATGAAAGTGACAGAGCACCTAATGCCTAAGATTTTTTAAAGTATTAAGAGATTTAGACTCCTGGAAGAGAAGCTAGGAATGCACTACTGAAGGATATATAGAAGACTATGCAAGCAAACAAAAAGAAAGACAACTTATCAACCTCAAAGACAACAATATCATGTAAGAAAGAAATGTAATCATAATTTACACAGGGCTCAGCTATGAATGATATTTTCATAATCATAAATATTTAAATATAATTATATTAGTAGAACATGAGAGGGTAAGTGTATATACGTATGGTTAGTATATGGGGGTATGTGAGAGAGATAGAAGACAGCTAAATTCTTTTCCACAGTAGGAAGTCAAAAGTGAATTTCTAAAAATAAAATTTCAAAAATAGTAGTATAGGGATCCCTGGGTGGCGCAGCGGTTTGGCGCCTGCCTTTGGCCCAGGGCGCGATCCTGGAGACCCGGGATCGAATCCCATATCGGGCTCCCGGTGCATGGAGCCTGCTTCTCCCTCTGCCTGTGTCTCTGCCTCTCTCTCTCTCTGTGACTATCATAAGATAAAAAATTAAAAAAAATAGTAGTATGAACAGATTACAGAGAAATATGGAGGTAAATACCAAAAGAAAGCTAAAAGAGGTCAAAGTGATAACCTCCAGAAATCAGTAATCAAGAATCAGGAGGAGTAGGCAAGGGACCAATAGTTTTGTTAAAAGCCTTTAGGACTGATTTTTTTTAAAGCTATGTATATTTGTAACATTAATAAAAATTAAAATTAAATTTTAAAAGTATTTTCTTTAGTACTCATTTAGCTCTGCAAAGGTAGAGAAATCTATGCTTAGTAGTATACCAGAAATATCAAAGGAGATTATTTTCTTTTCACAGTTATACAAATAGGCAGCTTAAAATAATCAATGAACTCCTACTGGCATACTGGAGACCTACACTGACAGACCTTAAAAAGCCATTGCCAGAAGAGATTCAAAGGCAGCATGTTTTCAAAGCATTTCACTGGGAATCTAAAAGACTCAGATAAAAATAACAATAGAGACCATGTATTGAGTCCTGATTATGCACTGGACATAGACTTGAAACAACTCTATGAAATAGGTGCCACTGTTTTCACAATTACACTGATCAGGAAAGTGAGATTTGGAGAGGAAAGGGATGCTTACCTAAAAGCTCACAGCCTGGAGGGTGTGGAATCCAGGCAAACTAATTCCATTTTTAATCACTATATTTTTCTGTTTCCCAGTTCTCAGCTAGATTCTATAAATGATTAGCTGTTATTATGCAAGTTAGTTACATCACCCAGGCCTGTTGATCTACATATAAGAAATAGAAGACTAACCAGACGTCTCTTTCAAGTCCATAATTCCAGGAAGGATAAAAACTTCCAGATTTAGAAGTTATGTACAATAATAAGTAAAGAGTAATTTTTAAAAAATCTTTGCTCTCCAACTAAAGGGAAAATTAAATTAAATTAAGAGCTAATAAATAATGTGTGATACTATGTTTCAATTATATTTCTCTTCAGTAAAGAACAGCCATAATGACGAGTGCTGATGAATTCTGATGAAGACCTTAAAAAGACACACAAGGCATTTCCAAACTCT